TAAGTTCCTGATGAATATGAGAAGATTATGGAAATCTGTATAATGAAGTAATACCTGGTATTAGCAAAGATGTGGGAGAGACTGATAAATTTCATGTGAAAGTAGGGCTAATCAGGGCTCAGTACTTAGCCCTTATTTATTCTCATTTATTCATTAGTTGGATCAGGTAACCTAGAAATTGTAAAGTGAAATTTGTTTCTGCTTAATGTAAGCTGATGTAGTCTTGGTATAGAATATTGGAAGTGAAAGTGGTATGGAGTATTTAAAGGGAATAATAACAAAGAGTAAAAAAAGGCAATATAATTTTAAAGAAAAAGGTTTAAAAGTTAAGTAGGACAAAAGCAAAGTACATATCTAGAACATACATTAACAATAAGAGTTACTACTGTAAATAAGGTGTTATTTGGATGAAAAAATTATTGTAAAAAGAAATAGTTTTAAGTAATTAGGTTTAGAAATACAAACAATGAGAAATTTGACACCAATAAATTCAAAATGATGCAGCATAATTAAGGCACATTTAACATCTAAATGATAATCCTCCAATACAAAGGATGGAAATTCCTGGAAAGCATAGGGGGAGAAAACCAACGAAAAAACTATGGTGGAATACTACTAGATTAAAAGTATCTCAAGGTATTAAGTACCTAAGATAAAAACTTATGGAGAAATGCAATTAGTGAAGCTGATTTTACATAGATATAAAGGCAAAGAAATCTGATGATCATGTATTACTGAGTATTTTTTTATGATTATTGGACAATTAAAAGGATCTTAACAATAGCTGTCCTTTACAAATACTTAGTAGAAAATACAAAAATACATTGGATGTATTTATCAAACACTAATGTTTCAAAGACTAGAAACATTTGACGAAATTCAAAAATTAGCTAGCATAAAGCTCAAGAAATACAGTTTATATATATATAATATATATTGCTATGATATTTTGTTTGTATTCTAAATAACATATATAGGGTTTTTGTAGTGGTTCTCAAAGAATTAGTTATTATGTATTAGTTTTATGACTGGTTATCATTCTTTTTATGAAATCGCTTTCCCAAATAGACCACAATGTTTCAATTAGCAGCTTCCACCATTTCAAAATATTTTTCTTCTTATTAACATTTATAAATAGGTAAAATATTCTTTCTTCTTTACTTGATTAACTTTTAACTATTAATAATTTATGTATTTTGTCCTTGAAAATTTAACAAAAAACTTGACTTTTCCAAAAATGAATTGTTACAGTTGGACTCCTCCATACTTAATCTTCTTTCTAATAATCTTTTTTTCTCTTCCAATCTCCAATCTCTCAAATAATATAAAATTTTAATCTTGACCTAATACTCTCTCTACGCTTGAAGTGACAGCGTATTTATACATATTTTCAATGTACACGAATATTCTCGAACAAAAGAGAGTTAGGTTCTTTTATTTTGTAGATATTTCAATGTTTGCGAATATTCTCCTACGAAAAGAGGTTCAATTCTTTCTTAGATAATTCTTTACTTTCCTATTGAGAATTTTATGGAAATTTAGGCTTTTCAGATCAGAATGTAAACTTATATAATATATACTTATATAATATATATATTATATAAAATTAAACATCTTAAAATTGTAAAATAACACTATTTTTAATCCATAATTATTATTTCAAATGTCCATTTTCTGTTCAATTTCTCCTGGATTCACTGTCCCATATCACTTTTATTCACAAAATGTCCCAATATAACAAATTTACTCATCTTAATCTATTCTGTTAGTGTATCTTTCGGTTGCCTATATAGATGGCATACACAAATCTATAATATCATAACTATTAAAATATCCAAATTCATTGCAAAATAAAAACTTTTTAAACAAACTATTATGCTAATTTCTTAAGGATGCGCTCATATAATATATTTATAATATTCTGTAGTATATATAACTTATAAATTATTTGTTTAATCGCCATTTAAGTTCATCTTAAGTTCAATTAAATATGGTAAAACCATGTCAACAGTGATATGAAATATTTTTTTAGGGGTTATATGGAGTAACATATAAAAGTGTGTGTTCCTTTATCAAAACACATATTATTGAACAACTCTATATTTAAGAGTGTAGCCTACTGCATTAAAAATATCACAACAGACAATTTGTACTATTATAAAAAGGAAAGAAAATAATCATATTCTTTCAAAACCAGAAAAAAGTAGGCCTCATCTGAAAAACAAGAGAGACAATCTGTCTGAGGGATCCAAAAATGTCAGTGCAGAATACAGTATATGACATGTACTAACAAAGTACCAGTTTCTTTAATATGAATTTGATAATAAACCATAAGGTACTTTTTAAATCAATACTTTATAAATATGAATATATGTTGTAAAAAAAGATTGATGAAAGTAGTTTAAGGAAACTTGTGCTGAATACATTAATTGATGTATTGAGTCAATTTTCTTGTGTCTTCTTCTTATCTGAAGGTACACTCAATAAGGAAGGAATGTAAATGAGTTTTAAACAAATTTTCACTTATTAAGTCAACTAACTGAACTAACATAATCCACAAAATAGCATGCAATAATGACTTTTACCTGCCTGGATCTTATTAAAATTTGTAAATAACGAAATGTTTCAAATTGAAAGTCTGTGTTGAAACGATGTTTGTAGCTAGTGCCTTTTTTCAGGCAAAGATCTTAATAAACCATTAATGCATTTGGTGATAAAATGTCAATTTTGATCATTTTTGTATTTAGTGAGTTTTACTTGTCAACTGACCGGATATTCAATGATGTTGGAATTGTAAATTGTGTAATCACTCATGGTATTTTACTGTATTCATATCTATTGTAACTGACCATGAAACTGTGGATATTCTGATTTAGATCTGAGGAATTAAATATATTTTGCTATTATTTTGAAACATCATAAGTATTATTTTTATAATTGTGTCCATTCTGTCAAAAATTTGTCATCAAGAAAACATGTTAATCAAATTTAAAACAAGTTATTTAAATACAGTTTGACAATTCATATGTCCAAGCCAGATATAGTTTTCAAAAATTATTAAATTCAGAAATTATTAAATTTAATCTCTATATGTAACAGTTTCAGTACTTTTTTTACCAATCTATTATTTCATATCTTATTACAAATGTTATAAATATCAAAATGAAAACTAATAATTCTTTTAATAGTAAAATTAGAATCAAACATTACATAAAACTATACAAATTGTTAAAAGTCTCCATTAAAGTCATAAAAACATTCTTTTATTTGCAAAAAACAAAATTGTGCAACATTTCTAGTGAGTGTCAGCTTCACACTTTTCTGTTAGGTGAATTCTAACTCAATTTTCCACATTGGTAATTGATGTTGATTGAATAATTGAACTTTTTATATAGAACTATACAAAAATGTTACATGTTTCCATATGTCAATATGTAGTTGGAGCATCCAAGTGTTAGTGTTTATTATGTTATCATTAAAAAAGTATAGAACATTGAATCTTTTTTGTTTCTGGAGATGTGCTTTTACACCATCATTCATCATCATTTTGGCTTTACAACCCTGTGTGGGTCCTAGCCTCCCCTAGAACTTTTTTCCAGTTGTTCCTATCCATCACCTTCCTCTGCCAAGCACATATTTCCATGTTTCTCATATCTTGGTCTATATTATCTAGGAATCTTGTTCTGGGTCTTCCTCTTCGTCTTTGACCAGTAGGTCTATCAAGGAGCGTTTTTCTAGCTGGGTAGGTTTGCTCCATTAGCATTACATGGCCTAGCCACCTCAGACGTCCTATCTTAATGTGTTTTATCATATCTGGTTCCTGGTATATTCTATAGAGTTCAAAGTTGTATTGTCTTTTCCATTTTCCACACCATTTTCATTTACTGCTCCATAGATTCGCCTTAGTATTTTTCTTTCTAAACATGTTTTCATTGCTTTTTGTCCAGGTTTATAAACCATTTGTTAGGACTGGGCATATTATTGTTTTGTAGAGTTTACACAATCATTAGTAACACCTATTTTGTAATTCTTCACTATCAACTGAATGATTAGGAACTGAATATATGAAAAATAATGTTAAGTATCTCACACCACAGTAAGTGTGCCTTAAAAAAATGATATCTAATTTTTTTTGTTGATATTGAATTAAATAGTTGCTTTTACAGGATAGGGAAATAATATTCCATAAATTTTGCTTATGCTGTGTTCAATGACATTTTTTACTTGATTTTCTCATTTTTTTTTAAATATACCTCTATAACCAAACTTTTATTGATCGAGTATATTCATAACATTTCATAGCCTATTCCAATTATATTTTTTTTCATAGCTATAAAGCTGGAGCAAAAATAGAAACAATAATGACTGACAATATATTCTCCCAGTAAAAATGTAATTAAAGCAGCGGTATGATCGAGATGACGTTAAAGGATTAAAATTAGATATATTGGAATAGAAGATTTAACTGTCAAATATATAGGCGAAACAAACTAAAAGAAATAAAGAAGACAAGAAAACAAAATTCTCAAATAGCAAAATATGTATTGTTCCCATTCAGACGGAATTAAACAAGAAGCATAGGAAAGTCTATAGGATCAATTAGAAAACAATAATGATGAAATTATCTGGAAGAACAAAGTAAATACAATTGAAACAGACGACCCAAAAATTTTAATTTAAACAATAAATAATTCATCCCCAGATTATTATTTTTTTTTTCGGAATAAGATCGAATGGCTAGGGAATAATTTTTAAAAATTATATTTAATTAACATTAAAAAACCTATTTATTGTGGAGTTTTGTATAATATCTTTAGCAATTATTTAGAAAGAGTGACATTAAAAGTGACAAAACAGCTGTATAAGTACATATGATAAACGTCAAAAAAACAAGAAAAATAAATCCTTTGTTGGAAGGCCTACCCAGTGAAATTCGAGGTCTGAAGACCTACAGACAGACATGCTAAGGTTAAATTACGAAAGCAGCAAATTTCACTTACCGTAATATTCGCATGGATCGTGTATTCTACAGCATTCTTTCCAATAAACCTACATGTCAATTCGTCAACACTGGCCGAGATGATCTGAAACCGTTCATGATTTTTTGTAAAAACCGATTCTAATGTCCTTATCTCTTGTTTCAATGTATTTAAACAAGCCATATGGGTCACTAACTAGCAGTTTTGATACTTTTCTTTCCGAAAACAATTATTTAGATCACTGATTTTTGGTACTTGAGCACTCCTTACACACCAAAATGGCTGCTCAATGGCGACTGGCCAGAACGAAGTGACGATGTAGAGGTGGTGCCGACAAAAGGGAACCGGTATGTAGTAACAGTAACGTGAAATCTACTTTTCTTTATGTCTGAGCTAGCAATTCCCTTATATGTTTACAATTTGTATATTAGTATTTATAGTTTAGATTCTCTTTGTTTTCCTGATATTCTGGAATTACCTTTTTAATATTTAGCACTAAACCCGTAAAAATAAACATTTATCGTTTTTAAGGGCATATTTTTTTATATGTAATTTTTTTGTCTAAAATAAAATATATACAGTATAACAACTAGTTTCCGTATTCGATATGCCATTAGGTCTATTGAATTTTCCACTGGCTTTGCCATAAATTAGGTACATATCATATTATAGATCTATTACCTCCCGACTAATTTGCAAAAAAATCGGTGCGTTTTAAAGATCCATAAAAATACAATCATTCAATAGCCCTTCAAAAATTATCTAAATTCAAATCAGTGTTGTTTGAGTTGCATAAATTTGCGATTAATCCTATCATTTGGTAGAATAATATGAAACTATAATAAACATGCAATATCATAAATTCCCCTACGCTTTAGTGTAATATTATGATCACTATAATTATTATTTACAACTTTGTTTATACTATAATATAAGGAAGTAAAACTTGTACATTAACATCAATAAACATCATAAACATAAATATTGTGAGCAGTCGAAATGAAAGAGATTAAAATGATGATTAAAATCAATGAAAGAGATTAAAAATTAAGTCAAAGCTAATTATTAGAACAAGGGAAAGGGAAAGGTTTGCAATAAGGAACAAGAACTGTTCTTAAAATTTACTTGCTTAGTTACATCTCTAACTAGAACGAAGAAAAGAGTTTATCGTGCGTGTACGGAATTATTCGTCTGTCAAGGTTTTCAAAATAATGAGGAGAAACTGGGAATAACGGGATTTTTAATGTGGGATTTGAGGGCAGGCAGCAGTTTTTTTTGAAGAATTCTTTTATGACCTATTTTATACCATGAAATTGATTTTGGCGGGGATTCATTCGAATATCCACTAGAAGCAGCTGCAGTTTATAGGGAACAATCACATTCATATTTATTTTAGAAATCAACCTATTTTTATTAGGTCTTTTATGGTCCCATAAGGTTAAAGTGCACATGCAGATCATGTTTTTGGCGTATATTAAAGTGGTTGTACTTAATCGATCTACAACACTGATACCAACAAGAATTTTGATGTCGACACCTTCAATACTTTTATTGATTTTAAATAAGTTTATAACGTACTAAAAAGTGTATTTTATTAGTCCATGGATAATTAATTTAACATTCCCATCAAACTAATAAAACTGGTGCTGACTAAAATTTATAAAGTTGTCAAAATATTATGACAGGCAGAAGTTTGGCGTGTCTCCATTTTAACATAGTCTAAACACACAGAACACCAGTTATTAGTCAGTAAATTAAACGCTATAACCATTTATTAAAGCTTGTATATTGTAAGTAGTTTTTAATTAATGCTATAAGTTATTATACCAAAATTTCCTAAGAAACTTTCTGCAATAGCATTGAAAACTGGTTAGGTCTACTTGCAGTATCAGTGGTAGGTACATTGTCTATCGGTATGTCCCAATCTCAGAAAGAGTGATGCTACTACAAATAAGGACATCACACACAAAACTAAATTTGATCCAACTATATGCGCCAACGACGGATGCAACATAAGATGAAGTAGAAACATTCTATCAGGAAATTGAAGATGCACTGAAAATGACAAAGAACAGGGAAATCACGGTAGTTGTCATGCTAATCGCCAATGTCACGCTTAAGCTTAAACGTATTAGAGAACTCTAAAATTAGATGTTAGAAAACCGAAAGAAGCTAATATAAAAAACAAACTCCAACAGAAAATAAACGAAAACTTTAATAAATTAGATACTAACACCTACGAGATAAACCAACAATGGGAAACATTAAAAAACTGCCTCCTCGTTCCATGCAAAGCCATATTAAAATAATCGATAAGAAAGAGAGACAACTGAATGACCGACGAAATACTCGACAGGATGGACTAAAGAATACAAGCCAAGAACAAATACAGTCACAATTACAAAATCATTAACAATGAAATCAGAAAAATGATAAGAGAGGCAAAACAAACTTTTACTATGAGGAAAAATATGAGATTACTACTTACTAAGCTACTGAGCTTACTATAGGGAAACAACAGGAATAAAGGCCAATGGGACAACTGTGTTGTTAGCTTAGATTAAGATATAGGCGCCGGAGTTAGGCAACACAGATGACAGGGATGTCATGTGAACGTAGCCGAAGCTCGGGCAAGCATGTATGTTTGAGGGTTGAGAATAAACTGATGTTGTGAAGTAACGATTATTATTTGTAACCCCTCTTTGATAACACGACATGGTGGCAGCTGGTGCTTTGTTTTGTTAACATTAAACAAGCAAAGAGTGGTCGAACGTGACAACAGTGCAAATCTTATGCATAACCTATAAATCAGAGGGGACCTAAAATCCTTAAAATGGATGCACCTATCCAAATAAATAAAGAAGTGTTTGCGAACATTTCGGCTCCAAGCGAATTTGATTTTACACAGCCCCAGACATGGCCCCAATGGAAGAAAAGAGTAGAGAGATATATGTCTGTAAGTGGATTTGGACAAAAATCTGACAAGGATAAATTAGACCTACTGTTGTATTTAATGGGAAATGAAGCAGAAGATATTTTACTTCAAAATCAACCAGTGGAGAATGCATCCTTTCAAGATGTAATGCAGATTTTCGACAATCATTTTATTCCCCGAAGAAATACAATCTTTGAGAGATTTCAATTTAATTCAAGGGTACAAAGGCCAGGAGAACCTGTGGGAAACTTTATTTCAAGTCTACATACTCTTGCAGAGCACTGTAGCTATGGAGCTCTTAAAGATGAGTTAATTCGTGACAGGATAGTTATCGGAATAGCTGATAAAAAGGTGAGCGAAAGAATGCAACTAAATGATGGTTTGACACTAGAGAAGGCAATACAAATAGCACGCCAAGCTGAACTTCAAGATAGTCAAAATAGAATTATGAGACAGGAGCAGTCAGTTAGTGCAGTTAAACAGGACTACAGGGAGCGTAGTGATAAAAGACATCAAGGTAAGAGTTTTGCTAAACAAGAAACAACTCATGAGAAAGTTAAGGAAGGTTACAGATGTGGATACTGTGGCATACCTACATGTAAAAATAGGGAGAAATGTCCAGCCAAGTTCTCTGAATGCAGATCTTGTTCACGTAGAGGTCATTGGAGTGTGATGTGCAGGAAGAAAGCTGTCAGAGCTGTTAAGTGTTCAAGGTCCACCAGTAGCAGTAGTACAGATGACGAAGGAAGGGATTCAGTAAATCAAGTGGTACATACAGATTCCTTTATTGGCCAAGTGTACCTAGACAAGAAGGATCGTTGGTATGTAGACATCTTATTGGATGACAAATTTAAGGTACCTTTTTTTGTGGATACAGGAGCAGATGTTAACTGCTTTCCCTATGAAAAATTACCTCCAGAATATGTGGGTAAAATTGTGGCATGTGATGCAATTGGTGCAGCGGACGATCATAAATTGGACACAGTGGGTAAGCTACATATAAAATTTACTTATGACGGTTTTACAAATGATGAAACAATATATTGTATTAGGAAGTTGAGACAACCTATATTAAGCAGAGAATCAATCATTAAGTTTAATGTTCTAAATTTTTCTAATTGTAAGCTTAAACAGGTAAATCAAATCAGTTGCAGTGTTGTTCATTGTAATCAATCTGAGAGTACTAATATGTTTTCAAAATTTAATTTAGAGTCTGTTGCTAAAACATTTCCTGGTATTTTTAGTGATATAGGTGAATTTAAAATGGAAATGTCAATTAGAATTAAGCCAGATGCTAAACCTTATGTACAGAGCGTTCCCAGAACTGTTCCTTTACCTCTGTTACCAAAATTAAGAATTGAAATTGATAGATTGCTAAAATTAGGGATAATTGAACCCATTGAAGATCCTACTTCTTGGGTCAGCCCAATTGTTTGTGTGGACAAGGGAGATTGTGTACGGCTTTGTGGTGACTATACTAAACTTAATGAAAACGTGTTACGGTCACATTTTCCTCTCGGGAAAATATCTCATACACTAGCACAGTTGAAAGGGTCTAAATTCTTCTCAAAATTGGATACCACAAGTGGGTTTTACCAAATAAAATTGAATAAGGAAAGTCAGTTGTTAACAACTTTTATAACACCTTTTGGCAGATTTTTCTTTAAAAGGCTTCCATTTGGTATATCTTGTGCCCCAGAGTATTTTACTATGAGATTTTCAAAAATCTTAACTGGCATTGAAGGCTGTGTTGTCCATATAGATGACATTCTTATTCATGCAAGGACAATAGAGGAACATGACAATATTTTGAACACAGTCCTAACAAAACTTCATAAGGAAGGTATTACACTAAATAAAAACAAATGCTCTATAGCAACAAAAACAGCTAAATACTTGGGTCATATGGTCTCTGAGCAAGGGATATTAATTGATCCAGATAGGGTTAAAGCTATCCGTGATTTTCCTGAACCAAAAAATAAGACTGAGCTGTCAAGATGGCTGGGTATGATTAATTTTGCTGCAAAATACATTCATAATAAATCTGAGATTCTTGAACCATTAACACACTTACTAAAAAAAAATATTAACTTTTTGTGGGGTCCAGCACAAGATAAAGCTTTCAGCACTTTAAAACAAAAGTTAGAGAGCCCTCCAAATCTAGCGTTTTTTGATGCTAATAAAACCATAATTGTTAGTGCAGACTCAAGTTGTTTTGGTATAGGTGCATGTCTATTTCAAGAAAATGTAGATCATACTCGGGAAATAGTGGCTTTTACATCTAGGCTTCTGAACTCAGCTGAAACACGATACGCTCAGATTGAGAAAGAAGCTCTTGCACTTACATGGGCAGCAGAATATTT